GGGGGGGGGGTGGTGCATTGGGGGGTCCACACCCCTTTTGATGGTGAGATGGGCCTCCTCAAATAAGCTCCTCACTCAACCTCCTCATTATAGAAGCTCCCTTGATGCTAGTGAACTCACTTTCGAGGTGGCCGGCCTTGGATATGGCATGGGAGAGCTTGATGGTTCTCTCCCGCTTCACAAAAATAACACAAAAACCCTGAATGGATCTAAGGCTGACTTAGGTATTTATAGTTCCAAGAGAAATGATCCTGATCCCTTCTCTCTCCTAGAAAGGCTGGCCCCATGGTTCTCTTGTGCCTATTGGGTTTACGTGGTCATCCTTCTCATGCCTACTTAATGTCAAATGCCCAATAGGTCCAAGCCCAATGGACATTGAACTCGAATTTCTTCTTGAGGCCTGAACCTAACCATATTTGCATTCACTTAATTATTTACTCTATATTAAACTAATTAATTCATGCACATCATCACTATTTTCTTTTTCCATCCAACGACCTTATGAGTGTGCTTGATCGATTGTGAATTAATTCTCCATTTTATAAGGACCCAGTTACGATGTGTCCCTAGGGCTTCTAGAAATTGTGACTGTGTGTCTAACAACATGTCACGATTACCCAAGCCAATATAGAAGAAGGTTGAGAACCTATTAAGTTGGAATTACAATGTTATACAATCCTTCTCTTACTCAATGCTCTTGATCACACTATAAAGGCACAAAATTCATATCAAGCTCCAAATGTGAATCCTGAGCTTATATGACTAATAAGAGCACAATCAGAATCTCTATTCTTAATCATGTTCAATACTTTGGCCAAAGACTACAGAGTCATATCGTCAAAGCATTCTCGTTCTTTATTGAAGTTAGAGATCCCTTGATGTACACTCACATGTGCCTCTATGAATTGATCATGAACCCTAAGTACACCTTAGATTCATGCCCTAGAGAGAACACGGCTATTTAGTGTGATCAAAGGTCTACAATGCTTCCACAAGACAACTATTGTGCCTCATGCTAAGGACTAATTTACATTATATCTCCAAACCAATCTTGTGTCATATCCCAAATCCACTGGTGCACATATAACTACAGTCAATGAAGTCTAGTAGGCCAACCAACTAACTTTTTAGTCTAGCGGTTCTTCTCTTCCTAATATTATAAGAAGTTTCAAGTTTGATCCACCATCCATTGTTAAAAAGAAAAAAAGTTCACATGGTTAGGCCAGATGATGTATATGCAAATAATAATAAAAAGAAATGTCCTTTTATTGTGACTTGCCCCCGCAAACATTACCACAAAACTAACTAGAATATGGTTATCCACATTTTTTGCTCAAGTTGTAAGCCCCCATCACATGGGGTATTTGATAATATGATCCCATATCGTAAAAGTTAAGTTCTACATTCCAATTCTCACCTTAATTGTCTTTATTCTAGTTACCCACAAAAGAATATCGAAGTCAAACCCATCCAAACCTCCGCTACTTTCTAGTGCGATTAGAGATAAGTTTTAAGTGGTCCCCTAATGGGCTTCAAAATCCATATATGAAAACTTATTTTAGTTTAGTATGGAAGAGATTCTTTATGGTATTTGACTATTTTGCCTAGGGTGGCTATTGCTGCCCATCATGACCCTCTTTTGTCGAACTCTCACTTTGTATGACCATATAAGTTGACCAAACCAAAAATCTTGAAATACTAGAAGTTTGTGAAACCTTATATTTCAAAAATCATTTGAACATATACAGGGAAATATAATCAACATTATGGCAACAGAAGCTTGAAATCAAAACCAAGAGTTCAAAAACCAATCTTTTCCCCTCATCTTTTAAGCCTAAAGGATTGAAGTTCTAATCACTACTAAAGATAGAAGAAACTGCTTTACCTTTGAAGCACTACCTTGAGAAAAGGTCAAGGTTGATCACCCATAAAGGGCCTTCACCAAATGATTCCCTAAAAAGAGCCACCCCAATGTATGGCTTTTAATTTCATACACACCAAAAGAAGAGAGAAATAAGAAGGAGATGAGAACCTAGGAGGTCGGGATGCTCGTGAAGGAAACATATATATAAATTAAATTCATTGAATCTTAGGCTACAACATGCAAGAGAGGCTGAAGTGAAACTTTAAGTCATCTTGAGCCTAATACTATCCAATTTTCCCAAGTATCTTTCAACATCTAATCTTATTTATGCCCAACATATCAAAATCTTAGAGAACAGATGAGACTTTCTTACCCTTGAAGCATTCTTGGATGGTCTCCAAGTTTTCACCTTTGGAAATGCCTTATTCCTTGCTTAGTTTCCATAGATTCCTCACAAAGATACCAAAGTAGATATCCTCTAACTCATACACACCAAATTTAGAGAAGACGTGAAGAAGATAACCAAGAAGAGATGAGGTTCTCTCCCTCTCCTCTAGGACCGGTTTTAGCAATTAGTGGTGAGAGATAATCTCTCCTCTCACTCAACATCACACCCAAACTTAGGAGGCTCAAACCCTAGAGAGAAATGGTCTAGTGTGCCTTATATAGCCAGCATATGGCTGAGAAATAGTCATTTGTTCCTCTTGTTACATTTATCGATGTGCAATCTGTAGGTTCCAATTAGCAAGGCAATGGGTACGTTCGATTCCTTCGAAACATGTCTGAATTAAATCCTATCATTTAATTCTCCCTATTGGCGATGGCTAATTACAATTAGACCTTACAAGGCATTCACAAGCTATGAGTGACACCTAGAAGTATGTCATGGCTACCCAAGCTAAGTAGAAATGTGAAGAACCTATTCAAGTTGAATTGTCATGCAATTGAGTCCTTCTCTAGTACAGTACTCCTAATTCATATTATCAGGATATGGATACTTTTGTTAGAACTTTAATATGAATTTTCCACTTATATGATCACATTGGTTATGTCTAGAAACTTCCTTTCTATATCCACTACTCTGCCAAGATTTCCTTAATCATATCTTTGGAGCATTCATCCTCCTTACTGAGAGCAGAGATCCCTTGTTATACATTCACTTGGCTCTAAGAGCTTATCGAGAATCCTGAAGACCACCTTTTGAATCATATTTGTCGACACGACCATATAGTGATTTCAAAGGAAAACGACTTGCCCACAAGACAACTTTGATGTCTTAGGTCTGAGGACTAGTTTGCACTATTGCAACTTATGAGTTCTAGTTTGACATATGAGTAAGGCCCCAATCCCAGAACTTGTGGTTTGATCGTGTTCAGTGTACTTATCTCTATAAGCACTTACACACTTATCTCAGTATCTCTACACACAATGACTTGAGACTAGTAATTCTCCCAATCAAGTGGATATAGTGTGTTTGTGCTCAAAACTAGGTGACCAGTAATGGGTCCAAACTTAAGGATGAGGTCTGATCTAATCTACCTTT